ATGGATGGATGGATGAAATTGCAATATCTGTCAGGAAAATGCTGTTAGATATTTTCCTTAAGTCATTCAGCCTGAATATCTAACCCACTTTGGTGGAAGTTTGGGTGAAAAAAAAGTGAATAATAGCACCGTACTTTAGTACCCTACCCGACCACATATGCTTCACCTGAAGGCTATTTGAGCTTTTATTAAATGCCGTTGCTTGCACTTATAAGTCAAAAATGGAACCAAAATCTGATACAAAATGAAAATGGCAGAGAAATGTGTGCAGCTAAGTGTTACAAGTCGAGTATGTACATGGTGGAATATATAGAAGAACTTGTGTGTTATTATATGCATTTAGGGTGTTTGAACAGTTGGGGAGATTTCCTAGACGACTGCAGCCAGGTGTGGACTGCACTTTCTTATCAATAAAACCGACACATTCCTCTGACAGGTGCACAACTACAACGGCCCCCTGCGTGTTCGCATCTCACTGGTAACGAAGAACCCACCACACAAGCCTCATCCCCACGAGCTGGTCGGGAAAGACTGCAGACACGGCTACTACGAGGCCGACCTGCTGGAGAGACGAATACACAGGTAGGGGTGGTTTGAGTGTGACTCAGTCTTTCATCATAAACCTGAGGAAATGATGCACTTTCACGTCAACACAAAGCGCCACTTTTTTTTTTTTTTAGTGACTGACCTAGATAATGACTTGATCAGTTGTGGGACGTGGTGTGTGCACTGTCGCCTTGGTGAAACTACCTTCATGTTTAGTGTGGAGAGCAGTAAAACATTAACAGAGTACACAGTGACAAATTGAGTTTGCTTCACCGTTCACCTGTGTAAAAATACATCAGAATAATTAAAGTAGGGACGTATTAGTGTCTAGATTAAAACCATGTATGACTGACAAGATAAATTTAGTTATGTAATGTTTATTGAATTACTCAAACAGTCGATCAGGCTGGATGGTACTATGTTTATCTGGCTTTATCACAAGAGTGACAAAATTCAAACAAACAGACTGTACAGCTGTGAGTAGGTGCACAGGTTTATATGTTAGCCTTTTTTTTTTTTTCAAATCAAAAAGATATTAATTGTGATAACTGCTTTACTTTACAGTACAGTTGGTTTAAGGTATGCAGTTACAGTAGAG